GTAAACTGGATTGAGAGCTCTTGATGGGCAGTGATACAAACGCACAGTGACTTGAAAAAAACTTTTTTTCCTGAAGAAAAGGATACTGTCATATAGGAACTATTTGACAAGCGATGATCATCTAATTAGCAGTGTACTGGTGAATGTTCAGTAACTAGTTTTCTGAAAAAAGTGTTGTGTGTGTGTGTATACACAGGCACACACCTTTATCATAAATCTGATGTTAAGGATGTGTAGCACATAATTACAAATAATCAGATGCATGGTACTTTGTTATGAATTTGGTAGAGCTAATGGACTCTCACACTGCCTCTGCTGAGTTTTGCTCGACTCTTGTATCTGCAGCCAACCTACGGTTGCAGTTATCAGATGAATAGAAGTGGAGTTCTGACATGAATGTTGGTTGGGATGTTTTTCATTAACAAGTAAGACGAAAGTGAAACAGTAGAAATGTATGCTGGTATTACATCCATTTACCAAGTATTTGAGCAACTTTGATGAATCGAATCATAGTTTTCAAATACTGGAAAAATATTTCCTGAACTTTTGTGCCATTTACGATGTAACAACTGCAGAAATGACATACTTTTAGGTTTCATCTGCATCCTGAACATTTTCCCCCTTATTTTCTTAAGTCTAGACTGTGAACAAAACAGTCAAGCCCTGATTTATATGGTATTTCTGATTTCTGTGGTATAAATACTTGTGCTATGACCGATTCCAGATGACCAGCGTGATGTTGCTGACCTCAGTTGAGATGAGCTTTGACATCACTGTGACTGTGGGCCAGTGGTTTTTTATTACTAATTAGCTAGTAATTCTGATGTTGGGTAGCTCAGTACCCAACAAGAGCAGTAACTCCTTTGTTAGAACTCGCTGTTAGAAAATTGTTTTGCTGATCTCAAATTTATATCCTTTGTTACTTTCTATTGGTCCCAACTTCTTTCTTTTGGAATAATATAGGGGAAATAGAGGTAAATAGGTCAGTTGGTCATGTGGCTCCATTAATGTTTTCTTCTTTTACCTTTAATCTCTCTAGTGTCCTTGATTCTCCTCTATATGATGTGGTTTTTCAGTCCTTTATCACCCTGGGTATCCTTCTCTGGGTCTAATTCACTTGTCACTTGAAGTCAAGACCCAGAGCTAGTAACTGACCGTCTTTCACTTCATCTGCCAGTGTGAGGAGGGCGGCACACGATAAAATGCAAAAACCATTATTTGTGCCTTAGGCCAAGTTGTGTTAGTAATGGACTCTATATAATATTGGGTTAGTTGCTAATTTTAGGCTCATTTTTTTTCCCAAATAGAATAATTAGCCAATACTAATGAAGGATCATTAACAAATCTTTCTTGAGTAAGGGTAATGTAGATGTTAGCCAAAAGATGCTAAAATATCTTGCTTTAATGAGGAAAAATGTCAGACTTGATGCTAAATCTCAAATTCTTGCTAATGTTGACTTTTGTCAATTAGTGTGAAAATCTAAGCAAAGAATTCTAAGATCATTTCAGTGTTATTGCAGCTAGTATTATTATCGTTAATAAACTGTACACTTAATAATATCTTAGGTAAGTTTATCCTAATTGCCTGAAAACTAAGTCCCTTTTAGGTATTATAATTAATCTGGCTCATTAACTGAAACTGCAGTTACTTATATTTGATTTCCCTATTCCAGGTTATCTGAGTATGTGTTTTAAAGCCATTTTAGGGGCGCCTGGGTGGCTTAGTCGGTTGAGAGTCCGACTTTCGCTTAGGTCATGATCTCGCGGTTTGTGGGTTCGAGCCCCGCGTCGGGCT